CTAGCAGACCACAATACCTGCCAATGTAGAGGTAGCCATGCCAGAGATAACCCAAACAGGGACAAGACAAACATGTTTAAAAAGTGTAAGTCAAACCTTATTCTCCCAGAAAAGTTCCTAGTTTTCTCCAGTCTGTCCAAAGACAAACCTGCACACAGTTTCAAAGCATACAGCCTGTCCTGCTAGAGACTAACTACTTAAATACTCTGCTATTCTAAGCATTTGGCAGAAGCATTTATCTCTAGTGAGCCTGTCCTACAAAGGAAGACGAAATTTCTTATTTTTAAATTCATCCATACTTTTCCAAAATGCATATTCTCTCAACACGTCGTGGTTTGAGCTCAGAGGGGAATTCAGTACTACACAGTTGCTCACTCCCCTCCTTACCCCCCAGCACTGGGAAAAAGAAACAAAAAGGCTCAGGAATTGAGATAAAGACAGCGAGGGATGAGTCATCCATTATGGTCATGGGCAAAAGACAAACTCATTAAGGGAGGGGAAAAATAACACAAATTTAATATAAACACTAACAACAACACATAACAAAGTAGGACCGTACGAAGGATCACCACATCCTGGAAACACCTTCCCCACCCCTCCCTTTTAGTACCAAGGACTAAAGTAACTGTGTTTCACGTTAATGCTCACAGTAATACAGACACTTTAAAATTACTTTAACTCTGTCGCAGACAACTGGACAAAAATTTCTCAAGTTAGACTGAAATTCCCTCAGAAGGAGGATCATGAAGGCTTGGTGAAATGGGCACACCAGAAGTGTGGGCATCTTGGAGAAAAAGCCACTTACAGGTGGGCTCAAGAGTGTGGTATAACGTCACTTGATACGATCAAAACTGTAACTGCCCAGTGCCCCAATGTGCCAACATACTCACAGACACCTGGTGCCAAATGTTGTGAATGGGCAACTGGGGAGAGGAAAACAGCCAGGACAAATTTGACAAGTAGATTATACTGGACCTTCACCCCACGACTGAGGGTGTAGATCTGTACTGCTGTAGATACATATTCTGGATATGTGATCGCCCATCCTTGTAAGCAAGCTACTCATCATTGTACTACCTGTACTGCAGACAAAATAACTTTGTACTGTGGAATTCCTTCACAGATTCAAACTGACAAGGGGTCTCCTTTTCAAAACGGGAAACTGCTCATTCATCATCATCCTGCCAATCTCTGCACACCAGGGCACGCTACGACCTTGGTAACGTCTGTGCGAGTTAAGCACAGGGGGGTCGCAGCCCACCTGCCAGCTCCTCCACACAGGGCAGCAAACCAGTCCTGTCCATTTGAACTCTTTCCACCTGCTCCAAAAAATGGAACCAGTGGGGATTGCCTGGACAGAGCACAGTGGACACAGCTGCATCCCAACACCCCTGTGTTCACGAGCTGTCTGGATTCACACTTCACACATGATAAGAAGAAATCTTACAGAAATCTTTCATGAAAGGCTCACTTAGATAGATGAGTATGATATTTTTTAAGTTTGCATTTTACATTTTAGTGATATAAAAGTTTGGGCAAGGGTATTTAAGAAAAAAAAGCATCACAGGTAATACTGTCTCCTTCCTACAAAAAAATAAGATCATGATCTGGAAAGACACCTGCTGAGCTGACAGTTTATTACAAAGAGAAAACAGTGATAAGAGCAAAAGTATAAGGGTAACTGGTTAGAAGTACTGCTGTTAACATACACACAGCTGTGTCCTCCACTTCAGCCAATGCCTTTTCTGGCTTACCTGACTGTACCTCCCACACTTGTTAGGAAGAAACAACAAAAAAATACCAGTTGGCTGATCTGTCATATTCACAATTTTTGTTCTCCAACTTCATGGGGCCCAGAGGCACAGTCAGGCCCTTCCAACAGCCTTTAAATAATCCAATAATCACACGTGGCTCTCAAGTGCTTCATGGGTGTTAGGCCTTCTACTTGATTACTGACTTTCTATGGGTCACAGCTTTTATTTCCCAAGCTCTGGCATATACAGGGAAAACTGCTCTTGTTTTGCTGAGGTCAGCACTAGGTAGGTATACTAAGAAAATCTTCTTGTCTGGAAAAACCCATCCTAAAGTGAGGAATTTTTTTCCAGTCTATCTCTCAAAGGCAAATGTCCCAAACCATCTCCAGGTCTCATGCTGCAGCCACAACTGTGTGTGATGACTTTATCTGAGGGGCTGGAAATAAGCTTCCAACATGCCCCGAACAGCTAGTCGGTGGGAGCATCTCTCACCTGAGAACATCTGGGAACCATCCCATGCACAGACACCCCCAGCCGGTGGCTGCAGACATACCAGGAACCCCATTTTTGCCATCATTCCCATGAGAGCAGATGCTGCTGCAGCTCCCATCATCCCCAATGGGGCAGATAAACCTTCAGGCGCACAATCTCTCTGAAATCCTTCACAGAGCTGACAGTGATGGGCACATCTTGCACCAGAGTGCCCAGGACTGGGAAAAGGCCTTGTCAGCCCATGTCTTCAGAGCCTTAGAGAGGAGGAGACATCCAGCAGCCACCCTGACCATCCAGCAACTCTAGATAACCACTCTGAGGATCAGCTGTGTTCGGATTTAACCCAACATTTCCCCAGCCTCACCAAATCCCAGTGTTGGGGTCAGCCCCTATTCCTCTGTGCCTCTGGTTCAACCCAGCCAAGATACCCCTCAGCCTGATTTCAAAGCACTGAATTGTACAACCCAGCTCTCGCAAGGGGTCACCCCAGCAGCCTGGTTTCATCACCTCTAACCAACTCCACACCAGTGCAACGCCCATGATGATCAGACCCAAGTCACCACAGCTGTAACCAAATCAGAGCCGCATGCAAGTTTTGCACTCCCAGGCAGACGCCTGCCCACCTGTGCTCCCTCAGACAGAGCTGTTAATCACAGCTCAGCTGATTGCACAGCACAGTGAGCTGGGAACTCAGGCACTTGGCAAAGGTGCTATCAGGGAAGGCGTGAAGCAAAGCTTCCAGTGGGAGTCTCCATCAGTTGCTCAAACCTGATGGGTGAGAAGACTTCCAGCTCAAAACCAGACAGACGACTTTGGGGAAGAACTGCAGTGTGGATCCTGCTTCCCTGCCTTTAGATCTAAACTTGATTTACTCTTTCCCCTCAATTTATACTGCTGATTGTCTGATCTAAACTAATTCTTCATCCTGATTTTTTCTCATCTAGATAACTACTCTTCTCCCTTTGGAGGAAGGTTTGTTATCAAGGAGACAAAATTTAGCTCATAAAGCAGTTTTCTGATACCATCTAAATAATGTAGTAATGGGAACTGCATTAATGCAAATTATGAGCACTGCAGTTCTCAAAATAAATACAGAATGTGACTTGTGTATGCTGCGAAACCACAACCAGTCAAGCTCTTGTCTAAACACAGACACTACAAACTAATTCCTGAGAGTGGCTGAGAGCCATCGTGTAGACTCTGCTTATCACCATCCTCTGAGCTTGGGTGTTTCTTAATTGTTTTCAATTCATGGATTTGTAGAGCAGCCACAAGCAGATGTTGGAACAGACAAAAGAGCATTACAAGTATTTTTATTTCCTGCTTTATAGACCTTGAGGAGATTCTTCATACAGAAATTAGCCCAACCTACATATTTTTCTGTGCTTCTCTACGCAGTTTGAGCTGTTCTAACGCCACCTTAAAACTGGCTCCCATCAATTGTCTCTCCTCATCCTGAAATGACCTTTACCAGGGGGAATGCATGTTCACAGAATAGAAGAGAACAGTCTGGGCAACTTATCTTCCTCTTCAAACAAAAAGGCTATTTTGATCAGAGACAGAAAGATGCTGCTCTGCTACACCAGCCTCATCAGGAACATTGAGAGTGGAGGTTCAAGAAATGGAGAGTCATATAACATGACACTCAACTGACCTATGACAGCCTTATAAAGCGGATGCGTAAATCCACCTATGGACTTCTCTGACTTAGAACAGATACTTATATTTTCTAAGGAAGCACATAGTGTCACATTGGAAGATTTTTCCTATAGCTGGCACTACTATTTGTTCTGCTTGAAGGGAAAATGATGGCAATATATTTCAAGCGCCTTGGGGAAGTGATGTACACCTTGCAGTGGCTGGAGGCTGGATTTATGAAAGGATACCAGGCCTCCATCAACAAAGGGAGATTTTTGGAAGCAGCACTCGCCCTGTCTGCCACCTCACTTCGGCGATCCCTGCCTCAATCAGTAAAGCTTCTTAGCTGCGGGAAACACTTGTTCCTGGGCATGCCTAGGAGGAGGCTGGCTTTAAAAGTGCTGAATATCTTGGCACCTGGCTCCTCTCTAGAGGCTGGGGTGAGTGTTTCACACTACACCAAGGACATCAGGGTCTACAGAGAAGCAGCCCAAGGAAAGCTCCCTTCTGCTGTTTGCCTCACTGGGGAAGGAATCCACCTGCGATTAGCAGGGCCACGTTTAGCTTTGAACTGGGAGGAGGCTGCACATCATCTCCCCATCGCACCACCTGGGACACACACAGCACCCAGCAGTAAGAACCAGATGAAGGAACGAGGTTCCCAGCGTCTCGGCTTACTGTGGCCCTCTCCAGCTCCTCTGTAAATCCACCCCATTTAGGATGCCTGCCTATCGTCACTACCCGCTGCTACACGGTAGGATCCCAACAAGCCTGAATTTCCCACAGCTCCCACCTCCATCAGGAGACCCCCTACACAACCCCTACAGCCAACACACCTGAGAAAACTAAGCTCTACAATCTAATGTTCTGGGCAAAGTTGGGCTACATCTATCTAGTTGCTCTTCCATTTCTGTTTATTTTCTTCATTGTGGTTTATTTATTGGAACAGGGACTGGACATGCATTTCTCCCTTCTCCTAGCTACAATTGTAAAGGAATACAAAAAGTTTCCTTTTAGCATGTAATACCATAGAACAGGACTGTCAAGTCTGTTTTATGGCTATTCTGCCTGTTCCGTTGATAAAGTCACATATGAAAAAGAAAAACCAACACAAACCTCTCTCAGCAGGGTCATAAGAACAGTCACTCACAAACGATGTACAAGGTCGAGTCAAAAAGCTCAGCCAAGACCTGCACAGTAAATGCCCAAAGCTGCTGTCTTTGCAGAGGGCCTGCAGCGGTGTCTACCAGCCTTCACATGGTTCCTAACAAGAGAATGCCACCTGTCGATCATTCAGACTTCAGCTGCCACTTCTCTGATCTGTAACAACGACTCAGCAAACACCACAGTGACCGAGGACATCAGTATATGGACCACCTGGTCCCTCCAGTCTCTACTTCTGCAAAAAGCATTCACAGGAGAAAGTGCTGGAAAGCAGGCGCGTTTGCGTTCAACCTGGGCAGCAGTAAAACCCCATGGGCTGGAGAGGAACTTCCTCCTCAAGTTACTAGTTTTCTTCTTGGTAAATCTGAAAGGCAAGTCTCTTGTGACTGGCCAGACTAAGCCTCTCCTGCTGCCTCAGCATGCCCTGATCTCCACACATGTGGCTTTATTGGTATTGCAAATAAAGGTGACAGTTAGCCATGGGGCAAGCGGAAGGTGCTCCAGCATTTTCTGCACTTTCCAGCATTCCAATTTTCTACCCTGTTTGTTATACTAAACAGGATCTCCTGTTATAATCTTATAAGGCAAGAGTGAAAAAACAAACGTGTAAGGGTGAGTTATAATAATATTAGTTTACCTTTCCAGCTTACTGCTGATGGGGAATAACTCCAATCATCCACTGACTACTTGGAAATCATGGTTGCATTGCGCTGCTACTTAGGTTATAAGGTAGGAGGATGATTTTTTTAATTTCAGAGCCTTGCAGGTATTTGTTTAGGGTGTTACCATCATGAACATGTCTAAGCTAACTGCTTGACTCACAACTGTATGAGGTACAGAAAAAACTTGCTCTCAGGCTTGTCGTCTTGATGAGTCATCTAACAAGGTAAAGTCCCAGAGCACAGCTGCTTCAAAGAAAGCAGTGTGCTGCCTCTGTTTTGCCTCCAAAACTGCAGATATGGGTTGTTCTGCTACAGGGTTTGAGAGTCTGGCTTTGCCTCATACCTCTCTCCTCCTTTAGCTTGCCGGGCCACAGCTCCTCCTTCTTCTGCCAGGCTGCAGAGCAAAGAGGGTGGTTGCTCAAGGTGCACGTCTGCCTGACACACCATCTCCGTCTTTATTCCGTGGTCCCCAGGCTCATCTGAACACAACTCTGGAAAGCAAAGGCATAAGGAATGACACGTGTTGGGGCCTGCTGAGCTTTTAAAAGTCATGACTCTACCTGTTGATTCCGTAGGACAAACTACACCCCAAGACTGTGCCGCAGAATGACTCCTGTGAAGTAAGATGGCAAAAACCTACACCCCAACTGAAGAGGGACACAGTTGTGATTGTCAATCCTCTGATGCTGTGTGCTCTGCAAGCCCTGCTGCACTCCTCAGGAAGGACTCCTGGCAGCAGGCAGCACTCAGCAGATGGCAGACGTCACAGCCCAGAGCACTGGGTCTCACCATGAAGAACACACACGTTCTCTTCCTAACCGTGCCAGAAGAGCCCTGGAGGTGACAGCACATCTGAAATGTGGCACTTGGTCTGAATTGTACGTGTCTCCTGCAGGAGAGCTAAGAGACCTTGCTCAGAAAAGAGCTACAGAGAATGACACCCAGACTGTACTAGTCAGGCAGTAAGAGAACAAAACTTCCACCACAGACCACCTAGTTCTGGGTGAAATGCTGTGCCAACGGAGAAGAGCCTCAGTGCTGCTGGGCAGCAGGCTTAGCAGGGCCCAGCAGTGGCACCGGTCACAAACCTCAGTCCACGTCTGATGAGCATCTGGAAAGACCAAAGAAAGAAGCCCTGGCTTGTGTGCCAGGATGTGCACTGAAACGTGAAGAAAGGACAATTAACCTCTGGAAAAGGTCAAACTAATTTACCCTGTTTGTTAATGCTCAAAGCAGTGACTTCCACAGTGCTATAAGGGCAATGGCTACAGAACCACCAACCAAGGCGATGCTTCCCAACTGCACCATGAACTGCCTGTTCCAGGTGTATCTGGACTGATGGGCTTTGAGTTGGACATGAAATTAAGACCTTCACAGCATTCTACCTGTCTGCACACCAGTATATGCTCTGCCATCCTCAGGCTCAGGTGCTTTTGGCTCCAGCTGCTCCTGCACTCGCTGCTTGGCCAGGGCTCTCCTGAGGTGGTCTCTGTGCCTTGGAGTCTGAGGACACTGATGTGGGATACTCCGGGCAGGCAGGAGGGAAAAAAAAATCCATCCCAGATTACCTTCTGTATGTAATTGGTATTCCTTCTGCCTGAAGGTAAGCGAAGATGATCACCTCTCACCCCCCAGACTTGCAGTTCAGGAGGGAGTCGTGGGCTCCACGCACCATGGGGGGGTTTGCTCCCCAGGCCTGTGCCGCACCCAGCTCCTCGGGACCTGCCCCACAGGGCCCTGCCCCAGCGCCCTTCTCGGCTGCCGTGTGGGCCAGAACAGCCACAGCCGGGCACAGGGCACCGGCGCGAGCACAGGGAACACAGGCTGCCCCTCTGTGCTCCCCACCCTGGCACTGGAGATTTCCATCCCAACTCCTCCAGGAAGAAAGAGGCCTGTGTCCCAATGGCTTCCCATCCTGGAAACGCCAACATTCCTCTGCTATGGCCCCTACCACCCATACACAATGCCAAGGAGGAGAAATGTAGCCACTGCTTACTTTTGCCTGGCACTGAACCAAAGTCTTGATGGTCTGAGCAGTTAACATCACTGGCTAGAAAAGAGAACAAAGGCCAAGTGGGAAAAACTCCTCTGGTAGTCTGTGATAGAAAGCAGAGTCACTCCCTTGACCCAGCTGGAACAACAAAGACACAGATCCACTGAGGTCCAAGATGTCCACGGGGACATGAATCGAGGGCAATGGTGTCACCAGCATTTCCTGGGCTCTGCTCCTCTGCCTGTACATAGGGAATGGACAAAGGAAGAGCTCTGTACCACTGAACCTGGCTTTGCTCTCTCCCCTGCCAGCCCCTCTACCACCATTTACATCAGAAGTAGTCCAGGCACAGAAGAAGCAAGTGGTGGCAACCGGATCAGCTTGGTGTTACTTTACCAACGCAAGGCTGAGCAACTCAACCAGCGCTGCCCCAGCAGTGGGGGTACCTCCTGAGCTACCTTTCAGCTCAGCTGGAGCATCCCACCGACTGCCACACTGGCGCCAGAGGTTTGCTACTGCAGCGGGGCTCACCTGAGGATGGCGTCCAGCCAGAGCTCTTTCCTCTCTTGCGAGCTGCAGAGACAGGAGAACCAGTATCACACCCCACTGCCACTAACCATAGGTCGGGCTCTTTTAATCACCGGCAGTGGGAAAACCCAGACCTCTGGGGTCAGGTTCGCTTCTCAAGGTGCAAAACAGTTTTTTAACAGAAGCAGAAGGCATCACGATGATGCCCCTGCTTTCCCCTACTCCCAAGGGCCCCTCTCTGCACCTGTGCTCCAGTCCCAGCAGCTGGAGCACACGGACAGCAGGGCTGTTCCTCCCCAGAGCAGCCGGGAGCGGGGCGGGAGGCAGGGACCAGGGCCTCAGGCCACTCTGACACCAGCAGGTCCTGGTCAAAAAGCAGCTCTCCCCTTGTTCTTGTACCTTCCCAAAAAGAGGCTCCCACTGCGCCCATGAGCTTAGGGACTGACAGGGTCTGAGAAGGGTGAGCAGGATAAAGCAAGTCTTTCTGCTCTCCTGGACAGATGGAGAATAGAGAAGGTCAAAGCCAAGGAGGCTCTGCTCCTCACCGAGCCGTGTCTCTCCAGGAGCCCCTTGTGACCCTGAACTCTGCAGCATTTGGGACCCCCTGGGCTGAGGAGCACTGTCGCAGACACGGGGCTTCTCCAGAGCGGGAAGCAATAGCCCAGCTCTGCCAGAACTGCACGTGGGGCTTCCAGGGACCAAACGGGATCGACTGTCTACACACAGCCCCACCTCAGCCCACGCCTTGCCTCACCCCTTTGACAGTGCACAGCTTGTGCAGGGGCTGTGTCCAGATGGCAGAGGGCCGGCTCAGAAAATAAGCTGAGCTGCAAAACACTGCACAAGCAAAGCGGTACCTCTGCTTCCCGCCCCACTCTGTGACATGAGCCAGAGGAGCCAGCTGGGCTCTGAGGGAGAGCACTGGCCCAGACAGCACAACACCTGGGTGACATGTCACCACCACTCACCCTGAAATGACTGTTGGAGAATGGCTTGCAGAGCAAGGCCATGGGTCTGTGCAGGAGCTGATCGCAGCCACCTGAGGTAAACAAAGGAAAAAACCCAGGGTACAGTTATGCTAACAAGGGAGGAGATTCAGGGCTCAGTTATGCTAACAAGGACTGTTATGATAGCAAAGAGAGAAACTGAGGTAAGCAATGGCCTAAAGTATGATGGAAAACAACCTTGGGAAAGTAAGCAAGTCAAAGGAAGGAAAATGTTGAAACATACCTGAAATACCACAAGGGGTTGGGATATTATAATGTGACCTTCTAGATGTATCCAATAGATTTGTGAGCAGTGTATTGTAGAGTGCGTATATAAGGTGTGATTTCTTTCAATAAAATCGAAGCTTGCTCTATCATTCACATTGAATCGGCTGCTTGCTTCCTCCGTCCTCTGCAAGTGGCGCACCAAACAGGGTTACCTGATCCCTGCTTTTCCACCGAACGGAACCCGGGAAGCAGCAGACGGACTCGGAAGCAGGAAGGCGACAAGGTCGCTGCCGAAAGGCAGTTGATGTGTGCCATCTCCAAAGCGCCAGGATCGTAACACTGACATTGGAGCAGCTGATCCAAACTACTGCTTCAGGAGGTATTGCGAACCAAGAAGGGCTACCCTGGAAAGGCCGCAGTGGGATAACCAGGAAAGGCCACAAGGAATTACAGAATTAAGGCTGAATTTGGGGAAACCTAGGAAAAGCCAGCACTGGTCGTTAGCTACTTGATCGGATGTTACAGAAGGTCATCAAGCCACACGATACAGGAAAGGAAATTAAGGAAATCTGCCCGGGCAGTAACATGGAACGAGAGGTATCCCTAAAACTGTTACAGAGCTTTTTAGAAAAGCGAGGAGTAGGTCCGTTAAAAGACTTAGCCATGCTGATTGCTCTAGGCAAGGCTAAGGGGCACTTTACCGAGCCAGATTTATTGTTTGAGGAGTCAGAATGGCGCGATTTTGGGGATACATTATGGAATATGGTAACAGATGAGGATAAAGTGGGAGAAAAGTTAATGAAGTCATGGCGGGAGGTGGCTAATGCTATTAAACAACATAAAGCAGAACAGAAAATAGCTGCGGCCGCTACTGTAAGGTTGGAGGGAACAGATAAAAATGCAGGGCGCATTACAGCGGCCGCAGACTATTTCTCGCCCCCCCATCTGGCATTCCTGTGCTGGTGGTATGGCCAAAACATCTGCCGCAAGCGGTGCCGGAGACGCTGGAGCCATTGGGGCTGCAAAATCCGCGGACGGCCCCGTCGGCTCCCTTGGCTCCTATAGCCCCCATGGCACCGGAGCTGCTGGAGCCGCCAGGGCCACAATTTCTGCAGGTGGCCCCCTCGGTTTCCTCAGCTCCGATGGCATCGGAACAGAATTGTGAGGATGAGAATGGGGAGGTTGCACTGCCGGATACAGAGCTAATAGCTGAAAGAAAAACTCCTCTCTCGTCCATGCGAATAAACTGGGATGAAATTGCCCGCCATGCATTATCAGAAAATCAGTTTGATATACTTAGAGATCTTGATCCAGCTCAAGCCTTCCCTGTTATGTATGAAATGGATGGTGTGGGAGGTATGGCTGGTCATCATAAACCCCTTGATTGGAAACTTTTAAGTCAGCTGTGTAATATGGTTAATGAGTCGGGGCTTCATGGTGAACCAACTAGACAAATGTTAAATTATACTTGGGGTCGTGGGTTGTTGTGTCCTGAAGATATAAAAGGTGTTATACAGCTGATTTTAAGTCAGTCACAGTCGCTATTATGCCAGGCTCACTGGCAGCGTGCCTGTGAAATTTCTGTACATCAGCTGCAACCACCAAATGATCCCTTGGCTCAAATTACTGTGGAGCAATTAATGGGTACAGGTCAATTTTTTTCAGTGGAATTACAGATGCAAACAGGACCTCGAGTTTTGTTGGAGTCTATGAGACTTGCTAGGGAAGCACTCAACTGCACAAAAGTTAATCCTCCATCTCCATCATACACGTCAATTAAGCAGGCGTGAGATGAATCTTTTGGTGCCTTTGTAGATCAAATTACAGCAGCTACTAATCAGGCAGATGTCCCAGAATGGATGAAGGGCACACTATTATGGCAGTGTGCACTGGAAAACTGTAATTCGTCTACAAAGGGGTTTCTAGTTACTTTGCCAGCTGATGTTGGCATAGAAGACGTGCTAGAGCGTATGAGCCAGGTCCCTACTGGGCCCCAGGCATTTTTGGTAGATTCCATAACTGACCTAGGAAAGCACTTGAGTCCAACAAGCAGGCTTTTGCTGCGCTTGCGCCTTTAAGGCAATCTGAGCCCCCGTGCGGTGGATTCACAGGTTGTAAATTTAAATGTCATAGATGTGGCCGGCAAGGTAATTTTAGACGTCATTGTAAGGTACATGTCTGGTGCCAGAACTGCCATGCAGACAATCATGACACTACAGTTTGTTATCAGTTGGGAAACGGGAAGATGAGCGCCCCGAGCCGCAGTGCGCAGACCCCAATGGCGGCTCCTGCGACCTACGTGCAGCCAGCGATCGTTGACAAGCACCAGCTCAGCTGCAGCCAGCCACCAGAGGGAGCCTCGGCCTGGACCTGGCGACAGCAGTAGACATCATTCTGCTTGATAATCGACCACAGAAGGTACCCACAGGAGTTATGGGACCGCTCCTAATAGGTGGGCAGCCATCTGGGGCCCTCTTATTAGGACAATCATCTACTGAACTTAAAGGATTGTTTGTTTTACCTGGAGTTATTGATAGAGACTATGTTAGGGAAATCAGCATAATACTGCAAACATCGTTTCCACCTATGCATGTTCCTAAGGGCAGCCATGTTGCACAATCAGTACTGCTGCAGCAGAACATGATGATCGACCCACATTGGTACAAGACCGTGGGTCCGGGGGTTTTGGATCCACTGGAGGACTGGCTTTGTTGACTGTACCCTTAACTAAAAGACCTGAAGTGACTGTTAATCGTATGCATGAAGGAGAACAGAAGACTTTTTCAGCCCTTCTTGACACAGGTGCTGACATCACTATAATCAGTTCTCATCACTGGCCTTCTCATTGGCCCTGTCAACCTACGTTAGGAGGGGTCGAAGGCGTTGGCGGAACTGCACAAGTACAGAAAAGCTGCAACTGTGTTAAGGTTGTAATGGATGGACAGTTAGCTAGCTGTATATTACCATTACGCCACTGCCTCTAGGAGTACAAGCACTTATTGGATAAGATGTGTTAAATCAATTTGTAGTAGTATTGACCACAGATAAATCTTTTCTGTGACGGTCACTGCAGGATGGACTTTCCCGATCCCACTGACCTGGTTATCTGATTCTCCTGTGTGGATTGAGCAGTGGCCGTTGAAAAAGGAAAGTCTGCAACAAGCACATTTGTTGGTGCAGGAACAGCTGGACCAAGGGCATCTAAGACCATCAGTGAGTCCTCGGAACACACCGATCTTTATTATTAAAAAGAAATCAGGCAAGTATCGCCTGCTGCATGATGTCAGAGCAGTTAACAACCAGATGCAGGCGATGGGAGCATTACAACCAGGTCTTCCTAATCCAGCAGTGATTCCTGTGGGATGGCATTTATTAATTATAGATTTGAAGGACTGTTTTTTCCGAATTAAGTCACATGAAAAAGATACCCAACGACTTGCCTTCACGTTGCTTGCAATTAATAGAGAAGCGCCTGCCATGCGCTTTGAATGGACTGTATTGCCACAAGGAATGAAAAATAGTCCAACGCTATGTCAGTTATTTGTGGATTTTGCCCTTCAAGAAGTGCGCAATGCATGGACCAATACAATTATTCATCATTATATGGATGATATTTTATTTGCCCAGCAGACACCTTTTTCTGTACAGCAGGAACAGTTTTTGCAACAACTAGAACAGCATTCTTTGGTTATTGCAACAATAAATGAAACACAGATTAGCCCTCAAAAACTGGTTATTCACACAAACATTACGATGCTTGCAGATGCCCAGAAACTATTAGGAGACTTACAGTGGCTTCAACCAATTGTGGGTATTGATAGTGATCAACTCGAATGCCTGCTTCCTCTATTAAAAGGGACCGAGCTTGCCCAACCAGTACAATTGTCTACAGACCAGCAACGTACCATTCAAGAAATTACAGAACATGTCACAACAAGGGCAGTCGATCGGATTGATCCAGATTATCCTATAGATTTTACTATCTTATCAGGTGTACGACAATTCATAGGTGCATTGACCCAATGCAAAAAGAAAAAGGGGGAGAATTGGATAGCTGTTTTGGAATGGGTATTTACAACGATGCAACCAGCGACGACGCTGCAGAAGAAAATTTCTAATTTACCTGAATTAATACAAAAGGGTAGAACAAGATTAGTGCAAATAACAGGAAAGGAGCCAGGAACAATATATGTTCCGATTCAGAAGAAGGATTTGGACTGGTATTTACAGCACTCGCCAGAATTACAACTGAGCTTGCTGTCTAGCTCAGCAGACTTAAAACTTGAAACTTTGAAAGCCCCAGTATCAAAATGGGTGAGTCTTCATGCGTGGATGGAAAAGCCAAAAATAAGTGAGAGACCACTTCAGGATGCTATTACAGTTTACACTGATGCTGGAAGACGCTTGCGACATGCAGCAGCCACATGGAGTGAGGATGGACAATGGAAAC